GTGGGTGGATGTTTAGATCCCAGAGGAGATAACTGAAAATACAGAACCTTCCCTGGATGGTCCCCTCACCACGTACAGAAATCCCCCCCCCCCCTAGAAGAGCAGAGGAAGAGGGATCCTGAATACCAATGAGATGCTGACAAAAGGACCCTGCCACATATCAAGGCGAGAACATGAAGGAGGAGACGAAGACTAGGATAGGTATAGAGAAAAAAGTGAGACCAGCCCTGGCTGACTGCATGAGCTGCCAGAGCTGAAGGAATTGCCAGAGTAGATCGTGACCAGCTGATACACAAGAAGAGGTAGGAAATGGGAACATGCCCAACAAAGTCAAAGAAGTTTGAGGATAGTGATGCGGAATGAAGACTCTTTCGGAGCTGACACACCCAAAGTCATATTTTCTGTCAGCTATGTGCCCCAGTCCAACAGGGAAGCATCTGTGAAAAGATAGAGATCTGGTTGGGGGGGGGCAGCAAAATAATGCCCCACCATCTGTTGAATAATGGCTGTCACATCCTCCACAGAAAATGAGGATCAAGAAGCCACTGTTGACACAGGTCCCATTACAGGACAAAGTAGAAGTTAGTCACTTGAGAATTCAAAATGGTTACGAAGAAAGAAAAATTATTTTTTACATGAGTAATGAGAAAAACAAATCAGTTAATCTGAATGAAAACAAGAGTACAAACTCACTATAGCAAATCACACATAACTGAACACCAATGAAAAATAAAAAACACGTTTCAATTATTTCAAGTTCAAGTGTTTAAGGAGAGTTACTGCACAAGTAGGTTGTGTCACCTTTCTATAGGTGGAGGGCTATCATCATGTGATAATGTCATCACACACTAACACAGTTCACATTAAATAGATGATTTTAAGGTGATAGTTTTCTCAAGGCTAGTGAAATGTCATAGGCAAATACATGAGGGATTGAGCTAGTGTGTGTATGGAGGCAAGGTATTATCTTGGGAAAAAATAAGTTCATCGTGACACTCCTTTTATGATGCTAAAAATATGAAAGGAAGTTTTCAAACTTAAAATTATGTATAAAATGAAGTATGCCTCACTACCATATAAATGTTGCACCATGTGTCTGACAAAAGAAAGTGCAAGCTTAGTCTGACTATTTAAAAAAAAAAAGTCAACAGGTACACTGGAATTACAATTTACAGAAACTACCTTGTTACAAATAATATATCACATAATATGCATATAGTGGAGGGAGTGAAGTTTTCGCTTTGATTGGCAGTAAAATATTCGTGCAGTTTGTTGACTTATACCATACTATGGGCTCTCAGTAGTAGCAAGCAATTCAAATCACACTCAAAAAACAATCCTACAGAGCTTACATAAGAATTCACAGTGCAAGAGTACATGCTGATCAAAGTCAGTACATACATACATTGGTCAGAGTGAAGTGCACAACTGCAAATACTCCTTCTGTTAAACATGCTCAAAAAAGAAGGAATTAAAAGGGTAGAATGCTGTGAAACTTTTTACTGTGTTGGGCAAGTGCCAGACATTGAAACATTTTTTTCACCAGTAAATATTCAGATTACATCCAATTTTTTTAGAAAATGAAGGGAAAGAGGATATGTCCATAATTCTGCTCAATAAATTTTATATACAAACCCACCAAAGGTTACATTATCTAGCTACACTTAATATTACTGAATTAGAAGTAGAGAGTAGCACAATACAATGTGTGATAACACGTGATCTATAGATTATGACCATGTGCTATACTGTAGCGTATGCCTAGTTTACTGTATCAGCACTCGCCTATGTTAGAAGTTATGCAAAAAACTACTAGTAGTATTGTTTGGAAATGGAATGTTAACTTTATGTCATGGTAATGCAATTTTCTATCGATCTGTCTGTCCACCAAGATTTTCAAATGGCTGCTGTTTGGAGACTGTGTAACAGATTTTCATCAATCTTGGTCAAGTAGTCAGACATTTTGGGGTTGAATTTTGTTGTTAGAAATTATGCCCTTAAACTTCTCCTCCTCCCAGGGATTTTGTCTGATCATTCTCAAAGTTAAAGTAATAAATGGATAGATGTGCATAAAAGTTGTACACAATTCTCAGGTAAACGGTCATTTGGGGTCATGAGTGGGCGAAAAGATAGAAATCTTATAAACACTTGTTCTCCTTATGTGCGAGTCTGATCTTTATCAAAGTTGGATAAGTTAGTAAGTGGATAAAGATGCCTGAAATCTGTTCATGATTTGTAAGGTCACCAGAGGTCAAATCCTGGAAACCTTTAAAATGCTTCTCCTCCCAGGGATTTTGTTTGATACTTTTCAAAGTTAGACAAATTAATAAGTGGAGAGAGATTCCTAAAAGTTGTATATCAAAGACCATTTGGAGTCGGGGGGGGGGGCTAAGAATCTTATTAAGGTCACAGAGCATTTTCAATCAGAATAACTCTTTTTTTAAATCTTAAAGCTGATGTACTGTTACTTCACAAGTTTCATTGGTTACCTACTTACCTACCTGATAAACATAATCTGAAAGAACATGCCAGCTTCCCAATCCCCCAATGAAAAAAATCAATGACATATTCACTAAACTAATTGGGAACCTCATTTCTATTCTGTTAACATTGATGTGTACTGTTGCCTTCATGCCCTCCAGTGATTTTTTGTTGTTTTTACCTTGGAGCCCTTGAAAATGAGAGAAAATCCAAGGCCAAATGGCCTTGCCCAAAAATGATAAATTACCTGGCCTGCTGAATAAGCAGCGTGAAAAGCCAGACTAATTTAAGAAAACACTTTACAATGCTTATTAAAATGATTAATTACATAGGATGGTTCAGTTAATAGTTACACTGCTATCATTAACTTATTGATATTCAAAATATAGGTTGGTTATGCTTAACCAATCATATTAGAATTAAGTGCAAGAGAAATAAATAAATAGCCCACAAGAAACGCATCTTGTCACACCTACTAAACCCAGTTAATTAACTCTTATGCTTAACCAATCATATTAGAATTAAGTGCAAGAGAAATAAATAAATAGCCCACAAGAAACGCATCTTGTCACACCTACTAAACCCAGTTAATTAACTCTCATGCTTAACCAATACATATTAGAATTAAGTGCAAGAGAAATAAATAAATAGCCCACAAGAAACGCATCTTGTCACACCTACTAAACCCAGTTAATTAACTCTTTCAATACAGGGTCAGTCAATGTGACAACCTCGTAACCATTTTGTGCTTGTTATAGTTTTCATGCTATAACTTTGCAATTAGTAAGCAAATGTTAACGAAATTTGGCAGATTATCAGTAAAGATTATTAAGACGTAAGATTTGTAAACCAATGTTTCTATCATGCCTTTTGTTTTTTCTTTTCACATCTTGCCTATCTATAATGCAAAGTAGTTTTCATTTTAAGATTAAAAATACTTTTATGCATCAGAGAATTCTTAAATTTCATATATGAAATCTTTATAATGTCCAGATAATTATCAAATGTTTTTGAAGAAAAAACTTTATATTTTATCTGTTATTTTCAGTAATTAATCTCTGTACGGGTTCGGTAGATTTGACCGATCTCACAACCACCATAAAAAATTAGGAAATAAACATAAATTATACCTCTTTCATTATAGAATGAACATGAACACATAAATATTTAGACAAAATAGCTTAAATCTCATAACATTATACATTTACACATATTTAGCCATGCCTGGCTAACAACAAAGAAGTTACAATGATGCAGCTCATGTGCACTCATGTTACCATATCAAATAACATAAAACTGACCTTTGGTCTGTACAAAGTAACTTATCTTCGAAGTCTTTTAGTTGACTAGTATTTCGTAAAATACAGTTAAATTTCAATTATTATACATTATATATGTATAAAGATTATTGCTATTTTGAAACCAGTTCTTAAACATATTTTTCCTAATACATAGAACAGTAAATAAAGAAGTAAAGCAAACAATTATCCCTTCTAGTTATGACCTTATATATATATATTATATATATATACATTTGAATAACTAAAAAAATCATAAATTACTACATCAATACCATAGAAGTCCACTATAATTTATCAAGCTTAGTAACTAAGATGCATTTTAGTATAAAAAAATATGAAATTTCGAGCAAACTAAAGACAAACCCTATCTCGTTGAAATATTGGTTCAAAAGAAAGAAATGACATCCTCAGAATTTAAAATGGATGAGAAAACCACTAGGGGGACATTCTGATCTTCTGATTGGTTATTCATGTCATATATATAGAAGTAACTGTATATAACAGAGTGTTTCAAAAAAATGGGCAGGGTGCCACTGTGTTTGATTTATTACATGAGCAATATCTTAGTAAATAGAAAATGCCTTCTTATTTTACATTCTAGGTATTCAATATCTCTAATTTGAGTTTTTAATTTGTACAAAACTGTAGACTTAGTATTTTGACTTCACAAACATCTAATTTGAACCAGTGCTGCATTCAACATACCACGTAACACACACAAATTGATGTATTTTTTTAATATTTACTTTTAAATTTAGAAATTGAGTAACGTATAGTTCTAAAATTTGAATTATAATTTTGATACCAAACTTATTTCACTTCATGAAATAGTAGTCTAATAAAATTTTGAATGTGATGGCATGGCCTTTCAATGGTGACCCATCTGAAAAGGGTTAATAAAGTATTCATGTCCAAAGAAATTATAAAAGCATAATTTTGGTGTCTGTTTTGAACTCTTACCACCATTTAAATTTATCAATATTTATTATCTACTGATATATAAATCTTTATAGACTGTTTTGAAAAACAAAAACTACCTTATGCAAAGTTAACTTGTATAACTGTGAAATGTTCTGTCAACTCCTTGTTCTACAAATACCAGCAATAATTTACAAAAAATTTCTCATTACTATACAACTGAAAAGGAATATCTTATAAGGTTTCTTAACAAGCACTTAATCAACAGAAAGTTTATGTTTCTTTATGAATTCTACTTACCAATAAAATTCCTTTCAACTGTTCCAAAACTGCACTGACCTCTTCTTGAAGCAGCCATTCAAATTCATGTTGCTAAAAAATGATGGATATTTAAACAACATGGTACCACATCAAATATTTTGTTACTGTTAATAAAAAAACAAAAACAAATGTCAAACAAGGATTACTGTGAAGAAATAAAACTTCAAGATAAAAATTTAAACTGATACTAAAGCCACCACTGTGGTCAGAAAATTTATATATATGTTCACACATTTGCAAGTACTGTTATTTCACTTCACTTCAGACATTTTGTATGAAAAACATCGAAAAATACAAATAGTAATATAACACAGAGACCAAGGCCTTAGTCATCACTCTAGTACTAATAGGGTTAGTCAAAAATTGAATGATTATGTTACAATATACATATTTTTCATTTCTCTTTACTGGCACATCATAAGATCTTATCTTTATTTACAAATCTTAATAGGAAATATCACTACCATATTAGTTATTGACATGCAAATCACTGATCTAGGTAATAAATATTACAGCTCCAAAGCAAGCTTCCGTGTCATGATTTAAAAGACTGTTTGGTTTAAATATTAGTAATTAATTTATATTTGTGAGTGAATACTTTATTATTTTTAAGTTTTGTTATAATAAGAGTTAAAAGCAGATGATTGTAGAAGGTTTTGTTAATAACTAATTGGTGTCGAGTATATAGAAAGTGGCCAGACGAATATGAAATAAAGATATAAATAGCATGAGACAAGCAGGAGGCAGCAGACAGACAGTATTAGACAAATAAAAGCAAAGGGAATACAGTTAGTGTGAAATGAAGTAACGTAAAAGCTATAGGCCTACCATTTAATATGTTAGAGTGAAACTAACAGTACAAAAAAAATAAGAAGGATAATTTTATTCCATCAAAGTGTGGTTCTAAAGTAACTGAATCAGCCTGGGTAAACTTGTATAAAAGGAACAGAGGATTTTCAGAAGACCAAATGAATTACGTTAACTTGTGCTGCAACTGTAAGTGAATCACACACACAGAATACTAGTATGACAGTAATATAGAGAAGATAGTGTTACGTCTCTGGTCATCTGTTAATTTCTCATATAATTTCTTTCGCATGAAACTTTAGCAATACAAGTCCTTTCTTAAAGAAAACTAGTTTATTCTTTCTCAATACAACTTTGCAATACACTTAATTTCCACAGTCACTTAAAGTTAAACACACGCTATAATTCACAACGATTCACGCACTTTACTTACAATCACCACTAAAAAACTATATAAATAGTAGTTTATGATATGCCTGTAATCTGATTTGTGTGAAGACTTTGTTGTACATACGTTTAACTTTGTCCCGAATATATATACATATTATTTGAAAACAGTAAAGTGTGTGTTGTTTATTCATCGTT